GGTCCCGGGTGCTCATAAAAAATTTTGTATGGAACCGCTGGATGATTAGCGGAATTGAATCACTTAGCTGAGGAAAGTTCATTATGTGGATGAATGCTTAAGACTTTATTTACCTGGGTGTTGCATGAACTATTTTTGTTTCAGGCTGCCCCACCCCAAGGAAGGCCCTGATACTGCAAACGCTCATTGATCGAAGGAATGGAGTAACTCATCCTCTTTCAATGAGCAAAACATAAATTCACCTACAACCCCTGGGTCAGGGGTTCAGTAAATCTAATTGTTTTTTGGAACCAGCCCCAAGAAGTGGTTTAAATTTTACTCATTTAGATTTGGATTAAAGCTCCATCATTAATTTGTAGTATCGCAAATTTAGGGAATTTATTGGCGGTATCTAATTTTCACAGTATTTTCTAATATACATTTTTTTAGCTTTCAGGGCTTAGCAGAGCCAGGGGAGCAAGTGGTCTTTCAACGGCTGACATTGGCTCGAGAATGGTAGCGCCAGTATTTTATGAGTATTGTAAGCATAAAAGGTAAAAGAATCAGCGCTAACCACTTAGGGGGGTTGGGTGTACTTTAATATTGTAGTGTTATTGGGGGACTGGGATGTACCCTATAATAGATTGGTTATTTTTACCCGTATTGTAATTTGGTATTATAGCTGTGGTATTGTACTTTAGTATTGTAGCTGGGTATTGTAGTTGGTATTGAACTATTAGTATTGTAGCCTGCAGTATATTTGCTATGGTATTGTACGGTATTGTAGCCACGGTATTGTAGCTGTAGTAATTGGGAGTAGGGTATTGTAGCTGGTAAGTAGCAAGTATTGAGAGATGTAGTAAATTTTAGTAGGGTATTGTGCTGTGGTATTGTTAGGTTTAGTATTGGGAGTGTCAGTATTGAAGCTAGGGTATTGTAGCTGTGGTATTATAGCTTTAGTATTGTAGCTGTAGTATTGTAGCTAGGGTATTGTAGCTGTGGTATTATAGCTTTAGTATTGTAGCTGTAGTATTGTAGCTAGGGTATTGTAGCTAGGGTATTGTAGCTGTGGTATTATAGCTTTAGTATTGTAGCTGTAGTATTGTACTTTGGGTATTTTACTGGGTATTATAGCTTTAGTATTGTAGCTGTAGTATTGTACTAGGGTATTGTAGCTGGGTTTATAGCTTTGTATTGTACTGTGTATTGTAGCTAGGGGATTGTAGCTAGGGTATTGTAGCGTGGTATTATGCTTAGTATTGGGAGCGTAGTATGTAGCTAGGGTATTGTGCTGTGGGATTATGATTTAGAAATTTTACTGGGATTGTAGCTGTGTAAGTTATTGTAGCTGTGGTATTGTACTTTTTTATTGTAGCTGTATATTGTAGCTGTAGATTGTAGCTGAGTAATTGTAGCTGTAGTATTGTACTGAGTTTATAGCTTTAGTATTGTAGCTGTAGTATTGTAGCTAGTGTATTGTAGCTGTGGTATTTTAGCTGTGGTATTATAGCTTAGTATTGTTACGGTATTGTAGCTTTAATATTGTAGGTGTAGTATTGTAACTTTTGTATTGTTACTTTATTATAGCTGTGTTATTGTAGTTACTGTATTGTAATTATGTTATTGTAGCTGTGGTATTGTAGTTATGGTATTGTAGCTGTGGTATTGTAGTTATGGTATTGTAGCTATAGTATTGTAGCCAGGGTATTAGCCAGGATATTCTTGCTATGGTACTGTAGCCACGGTATTGTACCCATGGTATTGTAGCTCGGATTTTGTAATTATGGTATTGTAGAGGGTATTGTAGCTAGGGTATCGAAGACAAGGTCATTTTAGAGGGAATTGTAGTAATTGTATTGTAGCCAGGATATTGTTGCCTGGGTATTGTATAGGGTATTTTATCCTGGTATTGTAGTCAGGTTATTGAAGCTAGGGTACTGTAGCCGGGGTATTGTAGCCGGGGTATTGTAGCCAGGGTATTGTTGCTAGGGTATTGTAGGTAAGGTATTGTAGCCACGGTACTGTAGCCTGGGTATTGTAGAGGGTATTGAAGCCAGGATATTGTAGTTGATAGGTATCTGTCTATACACTGAAAGGTGTATATCTTTGTATATATGTGCACTGTGAGGTGTATATATACACTGAGGTATATATATATATATAGTGTATGGTGTAGGAGGTAGGTTACTGAAAGCAGTGAAGAGTTTTTACGAGGATAGTGAGGCTCAAGTTAGAGTATGTAGGAAAGAGGGAAATTTTTTCCCAGTAAAAGTAGGCCTTAGACAAGGATGTGTGATGTCACCGTGGTTGTATTAATATATTTATAGTGGGGTTGTAAGAGAAGTAAATGACGAGGGTCTTGCAGAGGGATGGAGTTAAAAGATAAGAATCCACACAAAGTGGGAGTTGTACAGCGTCTTTGCCGAGGGTCACTGTGCTCTTGGGAGTTTTGAAGAGAACGTTGCAGAGATTGGTGGTAAATTTTGGTAGGGGGTGTGCAAAAGAAGAAATTAAGGGTTTGAATAAGGAAAGAGTAAGGTTTTTGAGGATTACCAAAAAGATTATGTGATGAAGATTGAATATCAGATTGGAGGAGAGAGTATGGAGGAGGTGAACGTATTGATATTTGGGATTTGGAGTGTCAGCGGATGGGTCTATGAAAGATGAGGTGATATCATAGATTGATGAGGGAAAAAGATGTGAGTGGTGCATTAGGAGTCTGTGGAGACAAAGAAACTTGTCCTTGGAGGCAAAGAGGGGAATGTATGAGAGTATAGTTTTACCAACGCTCTTATATGGGTGTGAAGCGTGGGTGATGAATGTTGCAGCGAGGAGAAGGTGGAGGCAGTGGAGATGTCATGTCTGAGGGCAATGTGTGGTGTGAATATTATGCAGAGAATTCGTAGTTTGGAAGTTAGGAGGAGGTGCGGGATTACCAAAATGTTGTCCAGAGGGCTGAGGAGGGTTGTTGAGGTGGTTCGGACATTTAGAGAGAATGGAGCAAACAGAATGACTTCAAGAGTGTATCAGTCTGTAGGGAAGGGAGGGGGGTAGGGGTCGGCCTAGGAAGGGTTGGAGGGAGGGGGTAAAGGAGGTTTTGTGTGCGAGGGGCTTGGACTTCCAGCAGGCATGCGTGAGCGTGTTTGATAGGAGTGAATGGAGACAAATGGTTTTTAATACTTGACGTGCTGTTGGAGTGTGAGCAAAGTAACATTTATGAAGGGATTCAGGGAAACCGGCAGGCCGGACTTGAGTCCTGGAGATGGGAAGTACAGTGCCTGCACTTGAAGGAGGGGTGTTAATGTTGGCAGTTTAAAAATGTGTGTAAAGCCACCTTCTGGCAAGACAGTGATGGAGTGAATTGATGGTGAAAGTTTTTCTTTTTCGGGCCACCTGCCTTGGTGGGAATCGGCCGGTTGTGATAAATAAATAAAAAAAATATTATATAAAATATTATATATATATATTATTTATATATATATATTATATATAAAATATATATATATAGAATTGATGAGGGAAAAAAGTGAGTGGTGCGTTGAGGTATATGTGGAGTCAAAAAAAACGTTATCTATGGAGGCAATGAAGGGAATGTATGAAAGTAGATAGTACCACCTCTTATATGGGTTGTAAGCTTGGGTGGTAATGCAGCAGCGAAGGAGACGGTTGGAGGCAGTGGAGATGTCTGTTTTAAGGGCAATGTGTTGGTTTTAAATATTATGCAGAAAATTCGGAGTGGAAATTAGGAGAAGGTTGTGGAGTTAATTATAGTATTAGTCAGAGGGCTGACGAGGGGTTGTTGAGGTGGTTTGGTCATGTAGAGAGAATGATCAAATAGAATGACATGGACAAGCATATAAATCTATAGGGGAAGGAAGGCGGGGTTTGTGGTGTCGTCCTTCGAAAGGGGTTGGGAGAGGGGGTAAAGGAGGTTTTGTGGGCAAGGGGTTGGAATTCCAGCAAGCGTCATGAGCGTGTTAGATAGGAGTGAATGGAGACGATTGGTACTTGGGATGACTATCTGTTGGATGTGAGCAGGGTAATATTTAGGAAAAAGGGATTCAGGGAAAACGGTTATTTTCATATAGTCGGACTTGAGTCTGGAAATTGGAAGTACATGTTGCCTGCAACTTTAAGGATGGGGTTGGGATATTGGCAGTTTGAGGATATTTGTGTTTTCTTTATTTGTATGCTTCTAACTGTTGTGTTCTGAGCACCTCTGCAAAAATCTGATAAGGCGAGTGTGGTAAGGAATGTGAAGATTTATCAACGGCTTCACAACCGTCACCTTCCCGGGGGGAGGTGATGTTGAAAATTACAGTTAGTTGTATTAATTATTTAGTCACATGGTAGATGTATGAACGACCCTAAATTTAAGGTTGTTTATAGGGGTTGTTAGGGGATTGTATAACGATTATAACGCAACTTACAGATGTCCTGTATCACGGTTTGGTGAAACCCCTATCACGATTATTAAAAAATCTTTCTATGGGTCGTTATCCGTTATTTTTTACCCCCCGATAATTACCTTTAAATAAGACTATTCTAATAATCTAAAAAAACCTTAAGGTTTATACCTGAGTATACAACGCCCAAAAATCCTTAACGGTTTAGCGTTCCCGAATAATATATTAATAATAAATTTTTTTATTTGTTAGTTGTTTCTTCCCCCTCCACTTTACTCCCCACCACTGAACCGTTCCCTATTACTTTTTCCCCTATTAATCTTTACTGTATTAGTACTATCTACTAGCACCATGTTGGTGCCCCACTGTCGTTAGTTACTATCTGTTCTAGACTGTACTACTCCTGCTCCTATTACTACTACCACCACCACTACTACTACTACTACTAGCAGCCTTTTGGTACCCCCACAGCCTCTGGTATACGAGGTTGGGTACTGATATTACTACCTATTATCTGCTGTCTACCACTACTAATAGTCTCATAGTCTCTGGTATACGAAAACGGGGTACTAATATTGCTATTAATACTACCTATTGTCTTCTACTTGCTACTAGCACCACCTTGGTACCCCCACAGTCTCTGGTATACGAGGATTGGGTACTGGTATTACTACCTGTTATCTACCAGTACTAATAGCATTTATCTTGGTATCCACACAGTCTGGTATACGAAGATGGGGTACTAATATTACTTCTATTAATGCTACCTATTATCTACTTTCTACCACTACTGCTACTAGCACCATCTTGGTACCCCCACAGTCTCTGGTATACGAGGATGGGGTACTGGTATCTGGCTCGTTGAAGGCTCTGGTTCAACACGCAGTACCCACGGCTGTCTATTACCCGGACACTGCCTACCTCTTCGCCTTCCTGCTGTCGTCAAGACTCTTCATCAAGCCCTACGAGCTTCTACAGCGAGTGTGTGATGTAGGATTTACTCAACAAGGCCTTCAAGGCAACGACCTGTCTACTGTCAACAAGGTGAGTTGTATGAACGACCTCTGCTGTCAACAGGGTGAGTTGTATGAACGACCTCTACTGTCAACAGGGTGAGTTGTATGAACGACCTCTACTGTCAACAGGGTAAGTTGTATGAACGACCTCTGCTGTCAACAGGGTGAGTTGTATGAACGACCTCTATCAACAAGGTAACTTATGTGAACGACCTGTATCAACAGGGTAAGTTGTATGAACGACCTCTATCAACGAGATTAGTTATGAACGACCTCTCTTCTATTGGGGTCAGATTATCCGTTAATGGGTTCTGATTCCCCGATATTAGGCCTTTTATATAAGGGGACTTATTTCTAATAAGGTCGTTAATAAGGTAAGTGAGAACACTATCTTAAAATTAAGATAATTATAATTAGAAGGAGATTGATGTGTGTGTACTCACCTAATTGTAATTGCAGGGGTAAATTCACAGCTCCGGCCCGTGTGTGTGTGTGTGTTCATAAAATAGGAAGATATTAAGATATAAGATGGGAAGTATTAAGATGGATAGTAAGATAGTGTGTGTGTGTGTGTTTACAAAGATGATCATGCTTGGATTTTGTGCGTGTACACGAGCTTTGATGTTCTCTGAACGCAAATGTGTTTACTTAGTGTTCTACAGGTGTTCTCTGCTGAACCTTTTGAACGTTCAACACTTATGTTGTACCTTTGTGTTGTACCCTTGTGTGGTACTGTTTTATAAGTTTATTGGTCATGTCTTGGTAGCGGGGAGTAAATGATACGTCTTCGGAGGCTTCTTACTTTATTTGCAAAGTCGTGGTGGGTACACAGGCTTGTGTGTTTGTGCCCATGGCCCGGGAGGGCCATGCCCGCGAGGGAGAGAGGGAGTAGGACTGTTGTTTAGTCTAGGCCGCTGAGAGAGTGAGAGCGAGTGGGACCAGCGTCCCACTGACCTGGGCAGGCCTAGAGAGGGCAGCAGCTGAGTGCCGCGAAATATGAACTAAGGTGGCAGACAGCATAGGCTGTCTGTGCAGACAGTACAGGCTGTCTACATTTGCTCGGCCACCTACCTGTATAGGTAGTAAAAAAAAAAAACTCGGTCTCTCGTAGGAACAGGGCACAGAACACAGAATATAAAACATATATATACATATGGACATGGAAAAAAAAACTTCCTACAGGGAGGGAAGAAAAAAACAGGTGGGGTGTGCTGAACAACGTGGTCAAAGGCAGTGAGCGTCGAAGGGCATCACTGCACGCCTTCCTGCGTCTGGACGGATACTGCAACACAGAAGACATCGCTGCTGCTGAGCTGTGACATAACAGGGTACGGTCTCCTCTGGAACAATGAAGCAGTCACTGCAGGTTTCACTCAACCTGGGGCACAACATGCTGGTGCCCTCGAGTGAGGCGTCGTCAAACTCAGCAGCTGGGCAGGACTCCTGGCAGGCGACTCAGGAGGACACTTCTCGACTGGTACTGTCTCTGGGCTGTCACTGCCGGCAAGCATGAAATGAGTCATAGCAGAGACAACTCGGCAAAACATCTGGGAGTCGTAACATCATACACCAGACTGCAGTGAGTGAGCTAGCAATCAAAGTGACATCATCTTTGTGCAGGAGCTCACCGAAGCTTGTGACACGAGGCTGACACAGCGCCTGCCGATAGGGCTAACTGCGGCTTGACGAGTGTCATTCTCTCGGTAGTTATAGCAGAGATTAGTCTAAGCGTCCCCAGACTTGTTTCTCTACATATAACTGCACTCTGAAGGTCTGGAGGTGAAGTGAAACAAATCTTGATGGGAATCGTAGCAGGTATGATTCTGCAGAACATCTATGAGCGACGAACATAAGAGTTTTCTGTACAAGGGGCTCATATGCTCAGGTCTGACTAATATCAGCTGTCAAATGTGCTGGTCACACCGGGCGACAAGTAACACAGAGGTGCTACTCTGGGGTCTGGGCTCAAGACCACACTGGACACACGGTAAACTTTACACACACTCGCAGTACAACATGGCTTAAACTAGCAAATGATGCTTTTCTGTGCACAAAATTGACACTAATACATGCACTAACATGTGAGAACACTGATGAAGAGGAATTAATTAACACACGACATATATCATCTCTCAGTCTTCTCGACAGTACTGAAATAATTACTGAAACACTCTATGTGACATCATGTGATGTCAGGTGTGATGTTGCGAGGTGACGTCAGCAGCATGGTGATGTCAGCAGACGTCTCGAGGTGACGTCAGGCAGACATTGTGACGTTGGGCAGCAATGTGAATGTGATGGGGGCAGCAGACCACAACATGTGGCCTGGCTCGGTAACTCACGTGGCTCGTAGATTCACATGGCTTTGTCCACACCCCACATGGCGTTGCGATCCACGTGGTGTCGTGATCTATGTGGCATGCTGATCCACGTGGCATGGTGCTCCACGTAGCATGGTGCTCCACGTAGCTTCGAGTGGCCTCGGGCACTCGGATACACAGCTTTGGCAATGAATTCACATGGAAAAGCGCAGAAAACACAGCAGAGGGAGTGAGTACATAGTGGTGGAGTGTGGTGGTAGGCTGGTGAGGTGTGAGTGTACAGCAGGGCGAGTGTGGACGTGGCAAGGAAAGGCCACTTCTTCCTCCTCTCCCACAAACACAAGATGCAGGGAGACACTGGACGCAGAAATCACCACAAAACTCACCTCTGGCTTGCTGAAATAGCTGTGCTGAGCTGAACAACAACAACTGAACATACAAGTGACGCTGAACACGCGACTTGAGAAACAGCGTGGGGTCACTGGAACGCCACTTAGAATTCTCGAAGAAATTCGGTAAATTTCGGATAGATCCTGCTTGTACCTGTGTCTGGATGCTGAAACGTGCAGACACGACATCAGGATAACTCGTTCAGAGACGGATGCTTCTAGTATAGGGTGATGAAGTGAAGACAACTTCATTCCTTTTCCTCTTCCTTTCTCCGGGCAAACACACTTGCTGCGACCACCGCTTCCCACCAATGTTTACGAGTTTATTGGTAATTCTTGCAGAGCGGGTGAGTGAATGATACGTCTTCAGAGGCTTCTTTATTTGCAAAGTCGTGGTGGGTACACAGGCTTGTGTGTTTGTGCCCATGGCCCGGGAGGGCCATGCCCACGAGGGAGAGAGGGAGTAGGACTGTTGTCCGAGTCTAGGCCACTGAGAAAGTGAGAGCGAGTGGGACCAGTGTCCCACTGACCTGGGCAGGCCTAGAGAGGGCAGCACCTGAGTGCCGCAAAATATGAACTAAGCTGGCAGACAGCATAGGCTGTCTGTGCAGACAGTACAGGCTGTCTACATTTGCTCGGCCACCTACCTCTACAGGTAGTAAAAAAAAAACTCGGTCTCTCTCTCGTAGGAACAGGGCACAGAGTATAAAACATATATACATATACATATGGACAAGGAAAAAACTTCCTACAGGGAGGGAAGAAAAAAACAGGTGGGGTGTGCTGAACAACGTGGTCAAAGGCAGTACAGGCTGTCTACAGTATTCTTGTGTTGTACCCTTGTGTGGTACTCTTGTGTTGTACTCTTGTGTGGTACCCTTGTGTGGTACTCTTGTGTTGTACCCTTGTGTGGTACTCTTGTGTTGTGCCCTTGTGTGGTACTTTTGTGTGGTAATCTTGTGTTGTACTCTTGTGTTTTACCCTTGTGTGGTACTCTTGTGTTGTACCCTTGTGTGGTAATCTTGTGTTGTACCTTGTGTGGTATTTTGTGTTGTACCCTTGTGTGTACCCGTGTTGGTAACCCTTGTGTTGTACCCCTGTGTGGTAATCTTGTGTTGTACCCTTGTGTTGTACCCTTGTGTGGTAGCCTTGTGTGGTACTCTCGTGTTGTACCTGTGTGTTGTACCCTTGTATTGTGCCCGTGTGTTGTAACCTTGTGTTGTAGCCCTTATGTTCTAACCCTTGTGTTGTACCCTTGTGTTGTACCCTTATACCTTTGTGTTGTACCCGTTTGTTGTGCCTGTGTGTTGTAGCCCTTATGTTCTAACCCTTGTGTTGTACCTGTGTGTTGTACCCGTGTACCCTTGTGCCCGTGTATTGTACACTTGTGCTGTACCCTTGCAGGAGAAGTTGGGCAGGTTTGTGCCACACATGGTACAGCTCCTGGGCGAGTGGAGTGAGACATTTCCTTACGACTTCCGCGACGAGCGCATGATGGGTGGCGTGCGTTCCATGACGCACCGATGTATCGCCCTCCAGCCAGCGCTGCGTCGAGACGTAACCCAGGTCAGTACCCCCACCCCCCTCCACACTAAGCAAGACAGAAAAATACAAGAGAGGTAAGTACAAGATAGAATCTTGTATCTTCCTATATCTTACTAAGATTTAAGATAGAAAAGTACAAGATAATGAGATTTAAGATAGGAAGATAAAATAGCAATATAACCTGGTAAGATACAATGTAAGATAGTAAAATATGATAGTAAGGTTAGTAAGATAGTAATATAAGATAGTAAGATATAGGAAGATAGAATAGTAATATAACCTCGTAAGATACAATATAAGATAGTAAAATATCGATTAAGTTATAAGATAGTAATATAATAAATGATAGTAAGGTATAGATAAATAGTAATATAAGATAGTGAAGATAAGATAGTAATAATACAGGAGAATTTACTAAACCGATTGTTCTAAAAGTGTGAGGTTGAGAGGTATTAATTGGACGTGTGTGTCTCTACGGGGCTAAACCGTGTGGGAGGTCCTCTAGGAGTAGTGTGAGGTTACGATCCTACCATATTCGTTGTTGCAATAGCTGTTGGTTTACATTTTGGGTGTGAGGTCCTCTTCGTGGGACTGACGTATGGAGGGGTCCTCACTGTTTTGTGTGTATGATGTGTGTTTACGTACCTAACCATATGTGATGTGTGAACTAGCCTGTATGTGGTGTGTGTACTCACCTGTATGTGGTGTGTGTACTCACCTGTATGTGGTGTGTGTACTCACCTGTATGTGGTGTGTGTACTCACCTGTATGTGGTGTGTGTACTCACCTGTATGTGGATGTGTGGTACTCACCTGTATGTGGTGTGTGTACTCACCTGTATGTGGTGTGTGTACTCACCTGTATGTGGTGTGTGTACTCACCTGTATGTGGTGTGTGTACTCACCTGTATGTGATGTGTGTACTCACCTGTATGTGATGCGTGTACACACCTAGCCAAGCACGTAAAGAAACTAGAGAAAGTGCAAAGGTGTGCAACAAGACTAGTCCCAGAGCTAAGAGGTATGTCAGGGGCCCAAAACTGTTCAACTGCCTCCCAGCATACATAAGGGGGATTACCAGTAGACCCCTGGCTGTCTTCAAGAAAGCACTGTACAGGCATCTAAAGTCAGTACTTGACCAGCCAGGCTGTGGTTCGTGCGCCAGTTTGCGTGCTGTCAGCAGTAACAGCCTGGTTGATCAGACCCTGATCCACCACGAGGACTGGTCTCAGACCGATGCGCAAGGTTGTTGACCCCCAAAACCCTTTCCAGGTACATATATGTGGTATATGTGTAAATGTTCATGTGTGTTTTGCTATGTGAGTTACAATAGTGTGTGATGTGTGTGTGTGTGTGTGTGTGTGTGTGTGTGTGTGTGTGTGTGTGTGTGTCTGTGGTGTGTGTGTGTGTGTTGCTGGCATGTGGTCGCCACCTGTGCTCACAGCTGGTATCTCGCAGGTGCTACACAACTTACTCAACAAACTGACACAGCTGGAGCGCTATGAGGAAGGACTGGCCAAGCTGTCTCCTCCACCTCCAGCTGACTTCATCTCTCAGGTAATTAGTTTTAAAACTTGCCCATTCATTCCCTTAAATTAGTATAAAAATCATGTAGACAAACACCAGGATGTATTAAATATATCCAGGTTAATATGTCTTGGTGTTGGCTAACTTTATTGTTTGAGATGAGCAAGAGAGAGTGAGCTATCAAGAGATAGCCAGATAGAAACGAAGAAGAAAGAGACTGCTGTGGAAGCTGTTGTGGAAACATTAAATGCATTCTCTGTGCTATCCAATGACTGTGAGTCTGACTACTGGGAATGTCACGATGAATGACACTAAGGAACGTAAAAACGTTGTTGTTGGGTATAGCCAGGTTAGGTATATGTATAGGGCCTTCTGCTTGCAGGATAGGAGTAGGAGACAGAGGGTTTGCTTTCCTGGGGCTGGGATGGAGGACATTGTTAGCCGGCTTGACACCATCATGAACGGTAATGGGATCAACCCTATTATCTGCCTCAGTGCTGGAGGTAATGATATAGGCAAACGTAGAAGTGAGGATTTAATTACAAGGTACAGTACAGCAATAAACATAATTAGTAAGAAGGGGGGGGCACCCTGTTATATGTGGCATTTTGCCAAGAAAGGGGGTTGGAAATAAATGGTTGTCCAGAGCAATTAGTATTAATTGTTGGCTGACAAACACTGTAAGGGTAATGCAGTACCATTCATTGTCAACTGGGACCACTTCTACGGTAGAAATGACATGTATGCCAGGGATGGGGTTCACTTATCCAGGGAAGTTGTGGGTTTTCTTGCTAGCTCAGTTGAGGTTGCTAGGACTTAAAACTAGGATTAGTTAGAGGTATGGGTTTAGAAATAGAAAATAATGAGTATGGATATATTGACTTAGGCGTTGATATTATGAATCTTAATAACAGTCATGGAGTAACGCTGGGTAATAACAGTTACAGAAATTGTGTAAAAGCAGAGGTGAATAGGAAAAAGGTGCAGGAGGAAAAACATATGATGGTATTTTATGCTAACAGTCAAAGTGCAAGAAATAAAATTAATGAACTACGTTTGGTAGCATGTGCTGGGAACTTTGATGTCATTGCATTAACTGAAACGCGGTATGATGTAAAAAGTCGGGATATGATTGCTGAGTGTAATATTCAAGGGTTTAAGTTCCATATGGATAGATATAATGGAAGGGGGAGGAGTTGCATTATATGTACGTGAAAATATAAATTGTTGCATAAAAACAGGTATAAAAGTGGATGGATTAGTAACAGAATCTGAGTAGAGTTTGTAGGTCAAGAAAAACTAATTCTAGGTGTAATATACCGACCTCCAGGCTTGGATCACGATAGAGGGAGATTTCTTTATGACGAAATTGTTAGGGCTTCTAGACACAATAACGTAGTGATAGTAGGGGATTTTAACTTTAGTCAAATTGACTGGACTTCTTTGACCGGTAATCTAGAGTCCAGTGACTTTATGGAAGTGGTTCAGGGCTGTTTTCTGAAGCAGTGTGTAACAGAGCCTACCAGGGGTAATAATTTGCTAGACCAAGTCTTGTCAAATAAGGAAACACTCGTAAATAATCTGGATATCACTGAATAGCTTGGCGCAAGTGATCACAAATCCATAACTTTTAGCATTAACTGGGAATACAAGAATAATGATAATACGGTAAAAAAAAAAAAAATCCCTGATTTTCGTTCTGCCGATTATAATGGACTTAGGGAACACCTGTCAAATCTCGATTGGGGTTATCTAGCTAATGATTTAATTGACGATGATCATACTTATGATTACGAAGGGGTCTGCATTTATGATTTTTTTCTTAATAATGTACACCGTGCTCAGAGTATATACATTCCCCAGAGAGAAATTAGGTCTAATAACAATCCCAAATGGGTTAACAGGAGGCTAAAGCATCTATTAGGGGAGAAAAGGGGAATTTATAGGCGCATCAGAAGAGGAGAGGTTAACCTTACTGATCAATATGTTCAGCTTAAAAGAGAAGTAAAAAGGGGATTAGAAAGGCTAAACGTGACTATGAAATTAGAGTTGCTAATGAATCAAAGATAATCCAAAGGGGTTCTTTCAAGTGTATAGGACGAAGGTGAAGGAAAAAGTAGGACCTCTGAAAATTGGAAATGGACAGCTGACGGATAACGAACTGGAAATGTGTTCCTTATTTAATGACTATTTTTTGTCAGTTTTCACACAGGAAGACATAAATGAGATTCCAGTAATTAACAATTATTTAGTTCCTGATGAATTCAAATTAACTAATATTACTGTCACGAGGGACATGGTTATCAAACAGATAGACAAACTGAAGCAAAATAAGTCCCCGGGACCCGATGAGCTGTTTTCCAGGGTACTTAAGGAATGCAAGATGGAACTTAGTCAGCCATTAACGAGTGTGTTTAATGTGTCCATCCTTACTGGTGTTGTGCCAGAGATGTGGAAGATGGCTAATGTGGTTCCTATATTCAAATCAGGGGATAAGTCCACTCCTTCAAATTACCGTCCAATAAGCCTGACATCTATAGTGGGCAAGTTATTAGAATCAATTATAGCTGACATTATTAGAAGTCACCTTGAAGAGCATAACTTGATAAATGAATCTCAGCATGGATTCACGAGAGGTCGTTCCTGCCTGACAAACTTACTGACGTTCTTCAATAGAACATTTGAGGCAGTTGACAGTGACAAAGAATATGATATTGTTTATTTGGATTTTAGTAAAGCCTTCGATAGAGTACCTCACAAGAGACTCTTAAGAAAAGTGGCAGCTCATGGTATAGGAGGTAAAGTTCTAACATGGATAGAGGCATGGCTTACCAATAGAAAGCAGAGAGTTACCATGAATGGAGTGTAATCTGAATGGGGATTAGTCACTAGTGGCATTGCACAAGGATCAGTTTTGGGCCCTCTCTTGTTCATAATTTACATTAATGACCTTGATGAAAGGATTATGAATGACATGAGCAAATTTGCTGATGATACAAAGATAGGCCGTATGATTCATTCTGAGGAGGATACCAATGAACTCCAGGAGGATTTGGACAAATTAATGTCTTGGTCTGAAAAATGGCAGATGAAGTTCAATGTGGATAAGTGTAAGGTACTTGCCCTTGGTAATGAAAATAACCCTCGAAGCTATAAACTAGGTGAAGTAGAGCTTGGTCATACAGAATGTGAAAAAGACTTGGGAGTCATGGTAAGCAGAAATCTAAAGCCAAGACAGTAGTGCCTAAGTGGGCATAACAAGGCTATCAGATTACTAGGAGTTATCTCAAGAAGTATAAGTAACAGAAGTCCAAAAGTTATTTTACAGCTTTATACATCACTAATGAGGCCTCATTTAGATTATGCCACTCAGTTTTGGTCTCCTTACTGCAGGAGAACATACAGAGAAGAATGACTAAAGTGTATTTTGGGTCAGAATGTTTGGTTGCATTGGGGTTGTCCCAGTTGGGGGCTTCTGTAGGTGGTTGTGAGGGAGGTTGTATTTGATCTTCCTCCTGAGTCTGGGTTCTCCTGTCCATCTCCATCTTTGCCTCTCTTTCAGTTTCTGTGTCAGCATAGTTGCTGAATCCCCTTATATGTGTTGTATAGCATATCATAGTACCATCCATGTGTTTACATAGAAGATCCCTAGGCCTGTGACTGTGTGACGTCACGGGATGCTCCATGAGTGAGTGGGACAGGCTACCTCGGCCTCAGTCGGCGTGTAGATATAGGCAGGACAAGGCAGGCTGGGGGCTCCATCTCCCATTACCACAGTCTGACAATATAGCGTTACCATCCAACAAGTGTGTCTATCTTCAACCCTCGATATCTCCTTTTAAGAACCCCTACGACATCTGCCTGCTTGTGTTTTGTCATGTTCGAGATACACCCTCCAGTATGCCGTGACCCTTAGTCATGCCTTCTCCTGCAGGATCCTTTTTCAAGCCAATTCTGCCTTGAAAAACACTTTGACTAGCCGATTTCTTCCTCTTGCAAAGTCCTGTATTCTCAGAAAATTTGCCAGCTGGGTCATGTCTTTTCTTATTGCTTTCACGATACTTTCAATCGCTGTTTTCTCCCCTTGTCTTCTTGCTTCGTAAGTTTCCCCTTCAACTTCCTGGCACCCATAAACAAAGACCAATCTCTCCCTTTCATTCTCCCACTGCATATCCCTGTGTGTTGTACAGTTGTACACGCACTCTATTGTTGCTGCTTTCGTGGGAGCGCTAAAATCGTAAGGGAGCCCATGCAGCAACCGAGTTAGTGGGTTCGCTGCACTAAAGGCAGCTCCACTTCCTCGGTCCATGCCCCTTTTCCCCACCTGGGAAAGGGTCTGTAAAGTTTGTGCAGTGATGTGGGAGTTATTCATCCAGTTGCACCATCCCTCCTCCCCTTTTTCCCAAACCTTCATTTTTTCCTTACTCCTCCCTCCCAATTCCTTGCTGTCAACCTCATTTCACTCCCTTTTCTCACTGCTCCAAACCTCTTATATCCCTTTTATCCTTCATTCAGCCCTCTGCGATTCTCCTATCATCTTCCTCCCCCCTTGCCATCTGTATTTCCCTACTCCTTTCAGGATTGGTTCATTATCATCACGCTTCTCACTGTCAACCTTTTTAACTCTGTTGTTCAGCCCTTTGCTCCTTTTCCATCCCTTATCCACTCACTCACTCAGTCTATTGACCCCTCCATCAGGACATATAGACACAAACACAGCCACATACAACCCCTTTAATCCTGGTTGTCACACCTTGATCCATCATTTACACTAACACTGAGCAGTCACAATTGACAACCAGCAAACCTCCCATAATCCTCAATTATCACACGTAAATCCTTTTTAAACGTGGGGCACCACGTCGCCTTGTAACTAGCAAACCCCCATCAAGATATGCATATACGTGAACCTTAACACCTACCTAACATCGGGCTGAAAGTCATCAAATGCTTAAACTTTTGGTTTTTAACTACCTTCATCCATAGGCCTGACCAAGCAGCCCTTTATTCTGTTCTTATAAGTATAAGTCGCAATAATAATAATAGTAAAAACAGTAATGTTTGGCTGACTG